ACTGATGCGAGAAGCAATGGAGCGTAAAGGTGGGTTCTCATGACGCCTTATTCGGTAGACAGAATAACATCATTTTGAGTGCGTAGCGCTGGTGCTCTTACGTCGTGTCGGTGAATGGCGTGAAGGTCCAAGGGACACCAAATACGTATGTGTACTGACCTAATGCCGAAGGCAGGAGGTACTGTAATGATCAGCGAGGTCGTCGCATACGCGGCGGCAACCGCACAAGGAACAAAGTATTGACGGTATTGTGATGGACCCAGAGCGGGTCAGATGACAGCTCAGGGCATCCCACAGTTTTACAGTGGCACCGGCGGTCCAAGCGAAAGGGGTACCGTAAGCAAAAATACCTCGCGCAATTATTTGATCCCTAACCAATGTGGCTGCTCGGAGCGCTGCTACAGCAGTCGAGATCGGCTGTCTATGGTGCCATGAGGCAAAAGTGGCTCAAATGAGAATCGTTGGGCACATACAATACATTCACCACCAATGCCTACAAGCCTCTCGATAGGCCCACATAGGATCGTCGCCATCACCAGTCAGAAGATTCAGCCAAAGAGAGGTTTGCGACCGATTGGGAAGGGTCTGAGAAGCGGCTCAATAGTATATATAGTGGTGGCTTTGCAGATAAACAGAGCGACGTCAGATGTAGCACGCGACGCAAGTGGCGGCCAGTATACCCATGCATATAACGCCTACGGATCTAGTGTAGTAGTGACTCTCTTTTGATCCTCGCTGGCCATTGGGAGTTGGTTGACAAGCTACGAGCTTGAGTCAATGCGATAGAAACAAAGAGAAGCAAGACGCCTGATTGATACAGAAGCAGGAAAACCAAACAAAGGCATGACAGGTCACAGGCTCGACTAGAGGGAGTGGCAATAAGACGGCTTGGCATGTTCTATGCTCTCTTGAGTCATCATGTGTGAGGTCGTCATTCTGCTCGGCTAGGGTGATAAACACCGGGTGTGAGCGTAGATAATGAGAAACGGACAGGAACATGATTATTACTCAACTGGATAACATGTTGAGTACTGAACAGGCTGTTACTGTAATGAGTAGAGTCATTCCTCACGCTTGGTGGGGGTGGGTGAGAGTTGTGCCATGCTCGGTAATCCCCGAATTTCCGGGGATACCCGATCCGACAGCACGGGCAACAGCACACGGACCAGCTTTCTACCGTGAACTGGGAGCCGCGGCGAAGCTAAACTGCAACCTGAGCCCAAACTCACTTAAAACTGGGACAAAAGACTCGAACAAAGTGGTAGAGACTGTAAGTACACCCTCAGCAGAATCAAGAACATCTCCGCGACTTAGCAAGTTCGCCTTCGTAATCGGACTCGGCCTCGGTGATGCAAAGACCCGAATGGCGCTTACTGAGCCTTACTCAAACATGCCTGGTCTGTGTTCCTAACGAATTTTCCACCAAGATTGACGGGTTTATCGTGCCAGGCACGGTTTCTGGGACATAACATACAGTACTGACCGAAGTCCCGGATGACTCCACCGTCACGGTGGTTGAACAAGAGTCAAGGACTTGACGTCGGCTCAGTGTTGAACCGGCTCGTTCAGGATGGCTTGAGGATGGTCTGTAGATGTCTTGCACTGGAACCTTCCCTGGAGTTGTTTTTCGCCGCTGGCATATAGCTCGGACTTTTCGAATGGGTTACCGTGCTCTCGTAGTTCGTGTGGATGATCTTAGGTGAGAAATCGCACCCACTGTGGGACTATGAGGTTTGATAACACGGACAATTACGGAGTAAGTACCTCCGCTTCCCCGCTATAAAGTATTTCCGAAGGATAGAAGCATTCGTCATTACAAACGGGACCTGCAGGCCGAAGCTGTGAAGGCGCAATGTCACGCAGGACTACGTCGACATATAATCCCACCCCCTGGCCTGGCGCTTGATACTGACGCACTCCTATATTACTACATGAACTCAGAACTTTCTCCTACAGCCACTATGGTCGAAAGGCCTGGCAGCAGCGCCTCGGATGAACCACAATCCAAGATACCCGATGACGATAAATCCCCAAGAGATGCAGCGCCGTCGACCGCACAGGATGTCTCACAAACAGAGGGTACCAGGGATTTCGTGACATGGGATGGACCGGATGATCCAGAAAACCCCAAGAACTGGTCATACGCCTACAAATGGTGGATAACTATCATCATGTGTATTCTATCCCTCGACGTGTGAGCCATCGAGCATGTCCGTGGTGTACTATGATGACTTACTCCGACTTGTAGGACGTTCGCGTCGGCCGCACCTACTTCCGCTCTCAGCTTCATCGCACGCGATCTACATGTCTCCGCAGAGACAGCAAACCTTGTCACAACGGTGTTTCTTCTCGGCTACGTTGCCGGTCCTCCACTGTGGGGACCCGGGTCCGAGCTGCTTGGGCGAAAGTATATTTCTCTTTTCGCGGTTGGCGCTTTCGCTATCTTCAATGTTGGTCAAGCGCGGGCGCAGAACATTGGCACGCTCCTCGTTACAAGATTTTTCGCTGGTCTCTTCGGATGTGCGCCATTAACCAACGTAGGCGGAATCGTCGCCGATATTTGGGATCCTGTCGGAGGTGGCCACGCTTTGGGCGTTTTTTGCTCTTGCGTTTTTATAGGACCCGTACTGGGACCCATCATCGGTGGATAGTAGGTTCCACCAGTTTTGTCTCGCATTCTCTCAGGGTTGACACGTGAATAAAAAATCCAGTGTCGCGACCAGTCATCTTGGATGGCGATGGGTCTTTTGGATCTTGATGATTTCTGGTGGAGCCTGCACAGTTTTTGGCTTTATATTCCTACCTGAGACTTTTGCACCAACCTTATTGGCTCGGAAGGTTAGCCATCTACCTCAGGATCCTGATGTACTTATTAACGTCATCGATTAGGCTCGAAGACTGAGGAAGCTTGATCCTGTGGCAAACAAAAACCTGTTTGCGGAGAGTGAAAATAAAAAGTGGACGCCGCGCGAGCTGTTAAATTCGACCATCATCCGACCTTTTACGATGGTAATCGTGGAGCCGATTCTTTTACTAGTGACCGTCTACATGTCTGTGATATATGGGATCATCTATGGCCGTGAGTCACACGGATCAGTCGTATGGGGAAAGAAAATACTCACATAGAGCACAGTGTTTGAGGCCTATCCGGTTATATTCGCTGAGAAGCGCGGTCTTACTATTCCGCAGACTGGCCTTATGTTTATCGGGGTCGGAATCGGCGCTTTGTTCGCCGTTATCGTTAATTGGTATTTCTTGCGGCCGTACCCACAACTGATCAAGGAGTGGCGAGGTTTCCCGCCGCCGGAGAAACGCTTGCCACCTGCAATGATCGCGGGGCCAGTGCTCGTCATAGGAACGCTCTGGCTGGGCTGGACGGGAAACTACGCATCCATTCCATGGTATGTTCCAGCGATGGGCTCGATCCTGGTGGGGATGAGCATCATCCTTATCTTCATTTCCTTTCTGGTGAGTCGCGTGCGTGCATGCGCACGCACATTGCACTTATTATGGGAACGAGCCGTACTGATACTCTGATCTATTATGAAGGGATACGTCGTTGATGCGTACTTGAAGTATGCCGCCTCCGCGTTCGCAGCCAATACCATGATCCGTTCCAGCGTCGCTGCAGCGTTCCCGCTGTTTACGACGCAGATGTTTAGGGGGGTAAGTCGAGTCACCAACTATGGTTGTCGCAACGTTGGGCTCACGAGAGTAAACAAACGTAGATGGGCATCAACTGGGCGGCGACACTTCTTGCCGGTATCTCGCTTCTGCTTGCTGTTTTCCCATTTATTTTCTACAAATACGGACCGCGGATTCGTTCAGGAAGTAGGTTTGCTCCATGTATGGTGAGTCTGGGGATGTTTTTCGTAATACGTCGATGGTGTGCTCACATAGGTGCAGGATCTCAAGATCGCAAAGGAGTTGGCCGCCGAGAGAAGAAAAGAGACGGAAGAGGTATAGACACGACTTATGGACTGATGGCTGATGACATGGCCTTGCTTGATACCATTTTAGTACGACATGATTTCTGACGCAGTTCTGAACTACAGTGTACATAGCATTTAAGTTTATACAGTACATAGCATCTTATTACTCATCCCTAATATTGCAGCACATCACAAGAGTATCAATAGTCGTCAAGATTAGTGAGACAGGCAGGGCGTTGGTACACTGGCACAGGAGGGATCGTCACTGTTATTCATTGAAAAGCGACTGTCTAAAGCCATGATCGTTACACAAGGTCGACTACGCCCAGTCTGAGTGATGGCCGTGTGTTGGGTTCGCTAGTCACGTGCCACAAAGCTCCCACGCGGTGACGCGGACAATATCACGGTCGCCAGTGGCATTTGCCCTGACAGCTGCCAGTGGTCATTGTGATTGTGTATCACGAAATGTTTGCCTAGGCCATTTGTGGATTACCTGGAGTGCTTTCTGCAATGCCGCGAGGACCTCTTGTCGAAGACCGAACCCTGTATTCCAGCCTTGGCAATTCATACAGGCTGCTGGCCTTTTTTTCGCGGTCTAAGAGACAGTAGGGCGGTGCGCCGCAATCCCGTGCCCATGACCGTGTCCATGTAGTGAGCTCTGTTGCGCAAGTGGGCTGCCTCTCTGCTCCGTGAGATTTAGCTCCTTAAGCAATCTTCCTGCCCTAAATATTTAGCGTGAGGCTAGCAGAAAAGAGTGTCTCGTGCCCATCGCACGCACCTGCCGAAGACGATACTGACAGCATCTACGACATGTTTTGGGGCGTGTATGTGAAAATTATGAGGTTCCACCATGGACGCAGGAGTCATGGCGGTCCCTATTCCAACTCCATGACTCCACGGTGCGCCCGCACCGAAACGTCCGCACCTTTACTGGATCGCCAATTTTATAGACTACTGTATGGCTCCCAAAATGGCTCTCAAAAAAAGGACCTCTTCAACCCCAAGTCTAACGACAGTTGCCAAGATGGAAACCGGCCTCGAAACCATAATAAATTAGAGAACCAAAAATGGACACATCCGGAATTGAACCGGACACCTCTCGCAAATCACAATGCTAAGCGAGCGTGATAAACCATCTACACCATGTGCCCGTTTACCCTTGAGATATTATATACGTAAAAGCCAGAGGCCCTTGTGCAGATGCAACAACAAAATAAATAACGCAAGTGGGACTCGTGTGGTCTCTGTCATATCGTACACATCCCTTCCGAGTCCCAGAATTCACTGTGGACGCCGACTGGGACGATAAATAGGTCGTTAGGGTCGTATACAGCCTTGATACTCTCAAGACGTGGATAGTTGGGGCCGAAGAACGTGACGCGAAAGTTTGGCTCGAGCACGTCGCCCTCGTTTGAGTAGCTACCACTGGATTCGCCACCAGCAAGCCCCGCGAGCACGGGTCTAGCTGTCGCGGTAAATTTCTTCCTCATCGCCTGGACATCCGCGGCGGACAAGGAATCGTTCCAACGTTGGGTGGCGATAACCTAGCAGAATCGGTCAAATTTGACTCAGACTACTGTATCGGGGAGAATGCTCACATGGGCCTTTGCCGTGCGCCATGCAGGGTTTACCGCGGAATCGATGTGGGCATTGGCAGCCACTTGACCTGCGTGAACGGTGAGCTTGGAATAAGACCATAGTACATCTCGGAAATGAAACACACCCCCAGCAACGAGGTTCCCAAGCACTGATTGTATACCCTGTGAGAGAAGTTGCTTGTACGCAGGACCTACGCTCTCCGGCGCATTGGAATAGACAGAGCCAGGAATTAGGCGAGAGCTGAGAATGATGTTGTACCCAGACGGGTCGTCTGAGAATCCAACGATATCATTGGCAAAGGTAGTAGCGGTAGTCTCCCCCTGAACAGCTGCCCCAACTTTGACTGCATCAGCAAGGAAAGAAGACATCTGCGCCTTGCTGGCATCACCGTCGAGGTCCTTGAAGAGCGTGGAAACGACAAGCGTGCTATTCGTTGTAGATCCTGTCAAGTAGAAGTACTGCCCAGCCCAAACTTGATCCCAGTCGTTGATGTGCTTGGCGTGTGTAGTCATCAAACTGGCTGTCTGGTCCAGCGTTGCTGTCAGGACATTTACAGTGTGTAGAGTCGCATTGAAAATTGGGAGGGTGGGGAGAGTGGCGTCTATGATAACACCCCAGCTACCAGCACCACCCCCACGCAAAGCCCAAAACACTGGAGGAAAGAAGATATGAGAGATATCACGGAGTCCAAGCTAGATATCGTACAGTCGGGGTGAGAGGCCGAGTTAACAGTCACGAACGACCCATCGGCCAGAACGACGCTGAACTCTAGACTTTCTTTTCAGGCGAATTGGAGAGAAAGTGAAGTTGAAGCACGTACGGAGAACGTTGTCCGCTGCGAGTCCATAAAGGGGTGAGAATCCGGAATGTCCGGCGCCTTGGATATATCCGCCTGCAGGAGAGACAGTGGCAGCGGTCCCGCCCACAAACATTTTCCCTTGTGCCTTTGCCGCAACATAGATGGTCTTCAAGCCAACACCGGAGCCTACAGTAACCGCGGGTCCATGATCTGAACCATCGACGATGAATTGTTCCGTGAAGGTGATGTTCTTAAAGTAAGCGGTCCAGAGGAGTAGTGAATTCTTCGCGGTAGAACGGCCTAGGTAATCATGGCCGGAAGATTTGATAACAACGCGTAGGTCGTGAGCCTGGGAGAATCGTATACCTGCCTTAAAAGAGGTGAGCGAATGCAGTTATCGACCTGGAGGACTCATGAACCTGAATATCTGCGACAGTTGTGGCATTGACCGCATAGAGAGGGACATCTCCCTGCGCACAGGTAGTCCCATTGCGTAAACAGAGCTCTGGTGGAGGGCCGTAATCCTGTCGTGTTCGATGAGTGGAATGGATACCATGGACTCGGAGGGGTATGTATCACCTGTTCCCAATTGTACTACGACGGGTCATAAGTAGGAAGGAAGGCCAAGTAAAGACACTGTTAAGACACCCACGGCATTCATTGACCCAGGAATAATTTGTCGGAAAACGCCGCTTTCCCACTGCGCCTCTGTGCAGCCCAACTCAACGCACGCCTCTGCAGACGGTACGACTTTGACTAGGCGGCCATCAATGGAGTCGTTCAAGGCGGACCAGTCCGCAGCAGAGGGATAGCCAGGGCTACCAGGCTGGTTGCGACATCGAGCGTGAACGAGAAGTGGGACCAAAAGTAAACCCGCTACCGCGCTCACGACTACCGAACGGGGAAGAGGGAGCATTAATTGGAGCAGGGGGAAAGGGAAGAGGGGGCGATAAATTTGCGATTCGATTTTTACCTTAAATAACCAGGACGACTGCGGGTTGCGGTGAGGCTGGATGATGCCCCACCATTTGGGGGAATGTTGGGACAGCTGAATGAATTGAATAGAACTATGAAAAGCAGATTCCATAATACAGTAGGCGCTACGGGGAGACTATATTCCGAGTTAGTCTCGCCGGTGGACGACAGGAGTTTGGGAAACTCTTGTCCTGGCGTTGGCGTGATTATAATGGTGGGCTTCGGTCATTTGGCCGTCCGCTTCTAGAAGATAAATTCGCATTGATATCCAACCTTCCACCCAAGTTGAATCTTACTCTACCTGTACGTACCACTCGAGTGATATATCCCGTGGTTCTGATAACAGGCACAGATGGGAGTAATAAAATCAATTTCGGCAATGGTGTACTGTGCTTCGGTATTGGCGATGTGTTGGGACTTGAGAGCATAGTTGCATTAGCTTGATTCGTGATACGCAACGACGTGGCTGTGCGGTGATCCGGCATTTGCTGGAGCAAATCCCGGCCGGGCCGTGACGCTGCCAGTAGAACTGCCAGTCGTTGCTTTTCACACCATCGATCCTCCTGCTGCTCATTTAACCCTATATCACCGGTAATCCATCAAGAAGCACGTAACGCTAAGCGAGCAATACATACCTTCACCGGTGGTAGTTCACCCCGGTCAGCGTGACCCGCAGCCCGCTTGGTCCTATGGCTTTCCCCCGGACACCATTTCTGGTTATAACTTCCGGGATGCGGTCATTGCAAGGCTTATCCGTCAGACTATCCACCAACTAGCTCAGTGAATAACGCCTTATAAATCACATACTATAGTTAGGGTCAGTTGATAACGTCAAAAGCCATGAATTTACCTTCCAGAATTTTGGTCGGACATCCCAGAGAGGAACTTCTCCTTCAAGCAAGAAGACTCACGGAGAGTTTGTGAAAAGGCGAAAGTCCTGACATGAGCATATTCCATAAAGGGCTGCCTGGTAATTTACAGTATCGACCACTAACATTGCGGGCCCGGTATGTCCCGACGCGGAGATTGCGGCGCAATAGCAATCAGCGCTCAAAGTCAGCTCAACTAAGACCTTCGTCCGACTGTCAGTGGATAGTATATACTGACGAACAGGACTTGTCTGTCCGTTCGCCAGTATAAACAAAAACTGGCGGTCTACCCTGGAAGTGAGCGGGGGCTGACAGTCTCGGTAGAAGCAACATGAATTCCAAGCAACGCCTCGTCGAATTGCTCACCATAATTCCACTCATTCAGTGATCACGGCACTATCAACTCATTCCCCGCCAGCCCATCATGGAAGCTCCCCCTCATATCGCAAGTTTTTTTCTTTCTCTCTCGTCGCGTCTTGTCGTTATCGATACTGACCGCTGTACGCAACGCGTCACATACAGGACATCTCCTCAGCCGAGCAGGTCTCGCTTCACAACTTGACTGTACCAGAGCTTTCTCCGAGTGATCCAACTAGCAATGCTAGCTCGCCGTCCTCCTCAGCGCCTGTAACGCCACTTGATCCGCCACCTTTTGCCGCGACGCAGGCAGACCCGCTCGGGCACGGGAAACACCAGCCTGATCCGCAGCCGTTCAGGCCAGTGTCAAAGAGCGCTTCGCGACTCGGAACCGTGTGGCGTGCCAGACAAGTACTGCTCAGCCTTGGGAAGCGGAAGAGACGCGCTAGCGCCGAGACTAGTATCTCGACGGGTGTGGACTCGGAGCTACTCACAGACTACTATGATGTGCAAGAGCTACCAGACTCGAATAGCGCGCCTGAGATTATAGAGCCACGCCTCTCTCAGCCTCAGTCCCTTTTCAGCCTCCCGAATGTCCCGATCGATAGCATGCCCCCCGTACGTCCCGCATACATACAGTAACCACCCGTATTAGTCCTTCGATCACTCACCTAAGTTACCTCACTTCGGCAAATACGCGCCTAGCAGATCGAACGCGAGTTCACCCGGCGCAGCAGCACAAACGACACAGATACACTCCCATCAGTCCCATCGAGCCCAGTAGCGATCGAGCGGAGCCCAACGCCGCCCGGCGGTGCACCATGGGCTCCGACGGGTCTCTCGCTCTCCCTCGTCGCGCGCATCATCCTGTTCTTACCATGGTGCGTCGCCGTCGGCGCAGCAATCGCGCTCTACCCACGAGCACTTTCGCCCCTCGTACGCATGTACGCAGGACCACCTCGCACGCCACTCCACCGCCTCGCACACCACGCGCACACCGCTCGCGCCCATCTCGGCATCTTCCTCGGCGTTCTTTGCCTCATCGTCACCACCATCCCAAACTGGTACCTTCGCTTTGTCCTACTCGGCGCAGTCGTCGCACGCGCTGTGGTCGTTTGGCATGGATTTGGGACGCGGGTGCTCCAGGAACGTAAAGGAGGTGAGGAGGAGTGGCGCGAAGATGCGAGGTGCGTTTGGAGAGTTTTGCGTGGGGAGGAAGAAAGGGAAATATTGAGGGCTTGCGGTGGTGAGGCTAGTATGGTGAAAGAGGAGTGAGGCCAATCCATTGATCCAGCGCCTTCATTTCAACTCCTACCGGTACTTTTTTTTGTTCCGAGTCGCGGTGTGCGTTGTACGGTGTATGGATACCACATGCTTCTATACTTTTTCTTCTTCCTTTTGTCTACCCTACCCAACGCTTGACGCGATTGTATTATCCAGTTGTCCATACTGTGTCATTCTACCAGTGAGTTCAGTTGGAACCTTTATTTGAAGGAATATTGTGAATCTGTGATACAGTATCATTATGGCTGCCTGGTCGTTGGCTCGTTGC